CGCGATCAATTCGGCATAGGGCTCATTCGAAAGGGCACGGTTTAGCCTTTAATTTCTGATATATGCAAAATTTGTACCACGTCAGGGTTCAGCTCTATAATTTTTCGAAAATGGCCAAAAACGCTGTTTTTAGGGGTTTCAACCCCTTTTTTCTCGAAAACGTGACGTGATGGGACATTTTTGACCCCGGATTCGTGTTCAGCACGAAAAATCCGTTCAGAAACACCAGGTCCCGTCTTATTCGCAGAAAAAAAGTTGAAATTTGTAGACCAGTGTTATCGATAAGACCTTTTAGAGACTTCATTATTTTAACGGAGTGCTGTTGCTGTTCCAAACCCGTCAAGGTGAGAGAGAGGTATATCGACATTATCATCGTCGACCGGGTACTTTAACTATTCGCTTTTGGCAAAATTTTTGACATTGCTGCCATTTATATGGATGTAGAATCAGATCAGATAAGCTATTTTTACTGTGCTTTACCAGGCAATTCTGGCTAAGATAGTATGTAAAAAGTTATTCTAGTGCAAAAGACTGAGAAAAAAGCTCTCTCATTCACCACTCGTGGTGTAAAGCTTTTTTTAAGAGAAAGCACTTGTATATTATTTAGTTCGAGTCGCTTTTTTCCTTTTTAGTTAAATTTTCTTTTAATTTTTAAGTCTAATTAAAAAAAAAATGAATTGTTATGATATTTTTTCTTTTCCTATTCAGTTTTCATTTAATGTTTAGATATTATTGGTTTAAAAAGAATATTTTTTAAAATCTCTTTTAAATTTTAGAAAATTATTTTATTTTTTAAGCTATTTTTTTCTTTGTTTTTAGATCAACATTTCTTTCATTCTTGATTTTATTGTTTAAAAATTAAAAACATTTTTTAACTTCCTTATTTTATTTATTTCTGCTTTTGTTAATTTAATTTATTTTTCTTTCGTTGATTTCATTTTCTTTTAGTTTTTGATTTTATTGTTTTAAAAAGAAAAAAAAAACATATATTCAATTAAATCTTAAGGATCTTATTTTATTTTTTTGCCTTATTCCATTTAATTTTCTTTCAATTTGTAAGATTTTTTATTATTTCATATTTATGTGCTATTTTCTTCTGTTTTAATTTTTGTCTTTTTGTAATTTAAATTTTAGATTTTATTGGTTTAAGAAAATATATATTATTTTATGTTATTTCAATTTCGCTTAGTTTAATTCAATTGAAAAGAACTTATTGCTAAAAGGCGAACAGCATAACGCTAAGACCTCTCGTTAGCAGATCATTCAATTAGTCTTTCGAAAGACAGGAAAGAGCTATCAAGATAGTTGCCGGAAGACTCTTGTCTTTCGAAAGACTGTGGTGTTGTTTCCCATTTTTAGGAACCACAGTTTTACGCCGACTCCGAACGGGGATTGTATTTTTATGAGAAGCTGTTTTTCATGGCAGAAATACACTCGGAGGTTTGCCATTGCCTGCCGAGGGACGACCACTGTTAAGAAGATATATTTTTTCTATATTTTTTTGAGATGTTGCTTTGACCAGGGCTTGAACCCAGGCCCTGCGGAGTGGGCCGTTGTACCCAGTTGAAAAATAGGTACGCATCTTACGAGGTAATCCATGTTTTCTTTTAGCTTTTTTGTACCACAATCGTTAGCATGACAAATGTTATCTATGCTTTACTATAAATGAACGCCTCCGATTACAACTTACTAAGTCCGTTTTAAAATTATGTTCCACCGAAGATAAATACCACAGAATGCCCGGCATCTCCGAGCAATTGCTGGGCATTTTACGAATCTACTTTATTTGGCAAAGCGGCATAGAAGTATGTACATATTTATGTCTGATAACAAATGTATATCCCTACTTACCTAATTCGGCCATGCCTTTGTTAAAGTAAGCGAAATTTGGCAGGGAAGTGTTACTGACCGCCGGGTCATTGTCGGTAAAACACTATTCCATGCTTATATTTCCTGCTGGGTACGTATGTACCCATAAATAAATAAAGAATATATTTGCATGCCTTCTTTGCAATTTTTCTTAAAACTGCAGACCAAAACTTACAGAATAATAATCCAGTTTTACCTATTCGCATTTTATGTCTAGTCACAGGTGACAATGCGGAAATATGCAACAGCATTCCAATTCTAGAAAAAATAGGTAAATATGCGTGGAATGCGAACAACTTTAAGTAACCCTTTCAATCTAGATATATCTTTGTTTGTATGTATGTATGACCGCCCGCACACGAGCAATCCAAGATACGCAATTACTTATACATACTATGTGTATACAATTTACTTTTATATGAAACAATAATAACTGCCTTTCAAAAGAACCAGTTATTTCAGAAATTTCGATTGACTCACACTTGCATAAATAGAACAGGATAGTTAAAGCCAAAGAGAAGTATGTAGGCGCATAAGTGAACAATATGCAGGCAAATGAGTATAAAAGTAGTTATGTGTAACTACATGTAAGAGTATACGTAATGCGCTTAAATGAGCATGCAAACTTACATAAATGAGTGCACTCATATTAATACATATCTACTATTATACTTTTACATATGTAAGTATATACTTATGTAAGTATGTTGTTATGACCAACAACTTGTGCCAGGGCATGGTTAACACGAATGCAGCAGCAATGCGTTCACGTTGAGTATAGTACTGCGATTGCCATAAGCGTTGTACATACTTATGTACTTATGTATGTAAACACAAGACGGCCTTGAGAAACTTAACACGCCTGTTGAAAGCCAATATAATCCCCTTCAATTTCATGCCGCCATTCTTAAGTTGTTTCGCCAATTAACTGGTGCAAAGTAGGCAATAATGAATGTTGCTGCGATTACCTATTAGTAACTTGTAAGCATAAATGCATAAATGTGTTTGTAATATGAGCTTCGAATTGGCAATTATTGCTGGCATTAGAGGTATGTAATACATATTTTAATAAGTAAATAAGCGAATAAATAAATAATTAAACCAATATTAAAGCAAAGTTGTAGTTTTACAATGATGTAACTACTTGGTTGCTAATGGCGGGTATAATTTAAATCATAATCGTATTAAATATTTATTTGACGAATTTGATTTACATAAGAGCCAATCTTAACAGAATCTTAATCTTAAAAACATAAATAGACAGTGGCCTCCTCTTTAAAAAATTTTGATTAATCAAATTGATAAAATATATGAAATACATATTACAATCTGGGTATGAAAGTAATGAGGGGTTTAAGAATGCTTAATTTGGTTAATATTTCTGAAGAGGGTTGCCACATGTTTCAAAAAATCAATTCAATTTAATTAAAGTAATAAGATAAAATATAGCAGTAAGGTTATCAAACTAAAGAGGTCAAAATATTTTTGAAGAAGGTGCCAACCTGCTTGAAAAATTAAATTAAATTAAATTGATAAGATAAATTAAATATTACAATATAATCAAATAACATAAATTTAGAAAGTTTAATTTGGAAAATATTTTTAAATTCGGTTCGAATCTTTGCGATGAATGCTACAATTTGGGTATCAAGTAATAATTTGGATAATATTTTTGAAGGAGGCAACCATGTTTAAAAAATTTAATTCAATAATCTTATAAATTATGTATTACTAGCTGTACCCCGGTGTGCTTCTCTACACCAAATATTGAAAAAAAAATATTGAAAAATCCTAGAATTTTTCTATATGAATTTTATTTTTGATTACTATATTGCAACCATGTTTATACTTGACTTAATTTATCCGAAGAAAAAATAAACAGCACATCACAGCAACAATTTTTCACTATGTTTTCGGTTTTTTATGTATCTTCTGTTGTACCATATACGTGGTTCATGTGACAGACATAAACTGTGATATATCATGAACCGCTTGATCGAATTCGGGCACACTTCACATAACCCATCCGCATGATAGTCCGAATATATAGTTTAAATTTGGTAAAATTCGTGCACTTCTTTTTTTATTTAAGATGGGAGGTGCCACGCCCCGCCAATACCGCACATTTATTCCCCATGAGTATGGAATTATTTGATATACCTCTATACCAATTTCCAGTACTCTGCCACAAATATTTCAAGAGATATAAAACATACAAATTTTAGTTAGTGAAAGGTGCCACACCCTCTTTTACGAATTCGGACAACTTCACATAAACCATCTGCATGATAGCCCGAATATGCCACATAAATTTGGTTGAATTCGGTGAAGCCGTTCCCAAGTTATGAGGTCACACCAAAAACGTGCACTTATTTTTATATATAAGATTAAGAAAGCTTAGTTTCGAAATTATTTATAAAGAGCTTGACCGCCTGTTTTAAAAATTAAATTAAATTAAATTGATAAGGTAAATGAAGAACTGCAGTATGGGCTTCAAAAAAGAAAAATATGTGCACCCAAAAATGCGTGGAAAGCACAACGTCGAACTACTCTCACGCCTGATCTCAGAGAGCACTCTTCAACCAGCCTTCTAAGCATGGGTTGATTTTGGTATCTTCGCGAAATTGATACGGCTGTGTAAAATGACGTTGAGCAATCCCATCAGCTCCGTCAGAATAGGAAAGGACCTTTCCGAGCCGTTTGATACCAAACGAGCTTTCAGACAATGTGACTCTCTTTAATGTGATATCTTTCATCTGATGTTGGAGAAGACAATAAGAGCCGCAGAATTCAACCGCTCGGGAACGATTTACTGCAATACATAGTGTGCAGTTGCTGGCGTATGCCGATGAGTCGACATTGGCGTAGAGAATTACGTTTACTTGGGAACGAGCATTAACATCGATAATAATGTCAGCATCGAAATCCGAATCCAAGAATCATGTTGCCAACAAGTGCTACTTTGGACTGAGTAGGCAAATCAGAAGTAAAGCGCTCTCCCGTCGTACAAAGATCCCACTCTATAAGCCATTCATCATGCCCGTGGTGGTATATGGCACAGAAGCATGGACAATGACAACATCCGATGAGGCGGCTCTTGGAGTATTCGAGAGAAAGATTTTGCGGAAGATTTACGGGCCTTTGTGCATTGGCGATGGCGAGTACCGCAGACGATGGAACGATAAGCTGTATGAGCTTTACAACTACATAGACATAGTGCAGCGAAATAAAATACAGTGGCTCCGCTGGCTTGGCCATGTCGTGGGAACCCGCTCTTGGTAGGATGAAGTGAGAGGCCCCCACTGCGATGGGGTGACCAAGTGGAGAAGAGCTTGGCTTCACTTGGCATTTCCAATTGATGTCAGTTGGCACGGTAGAGGAGCGACTAGCGTGCTTTGTTGAACTCGGCCAAAATCGCTTAGGCGGTAGCAGAGCCAAAGAAGAAGAAATAGATATGAACAGGCAATAATGTTACTCATACGCCATGTACATATGAGCAAAACTCACGATTGAAAGAATACAAAGGTTGCGCCGATCTCGGACCGCTATTCCTCTCTTAACGAATTTGACAGAATCGTTGTTTGCATGACGTCACACTTGTGCAACTTGTTTACGTTTTCCTTGCAACATTTTTTCTTCTTCTTCCATTCTTGCTCACGTTTTGGCATTTCTTTCTCGCAATTGCACCAGTGTGACGTCACACAAAAGTTATTCTCAAAAATCCTCTCTGATCGGCGCAATCCTGTATTCTATCATTCTTCAGCAAAACTCTTTCCTGCTCATACTTCATAAAGAGTGTGTAGTGTAGGGCTGCCAGATTTGTGTGACGCAAAAGCGGGAATTTTCATTTCTACACACATACTTACATATTCATTACTCAAAAGCTAATATTTAACGCCACGAGAATAACAAAGAAGCCAGAGAGAACACAAATAAAAAACACTGACACAGAATATATATTTTTAACTTTCTCCAGTTGCATTTTAAATTTTTTCATAAAAAAAACCAAAAAAATCTGGAATAAATAATTGATTACTCAGAAACTATTAGGCCTATTTAAATATGTACATATGTGCGATTTATGGAGAATTTCGTTAGCTTCCATCTGTTACATTTGCTATTAAAATTGTTAAATTGGTTCGTAGGATATGCATTATTAAATGTAACCACTTTTCGTTTTAAGCTCAATTGAAATTAAATGGAAAATATCTCGAAAACTTATACATAAAAAAGTGAATGGTCAACACAATAAAATCGAATATTTTGTGCACAGTTTTGAATTTTAATGTGCTTTTAATAACATCATGTATTCTACGTTTAAGTTAAGGGGATTTGGCTTCGAAACAGCCTGCAGGTCAAGAGGAAGGCGTTGGAATTGCACTTTTTTAAATTGGCATCTAAGAAATTACCTTATTTTGTTTGGGGTCTCCTGAAATAGCCTTTATGTATTTTTATGTATTTTAGTATATAAGCATACAATTGACATAATAAAAAAAAAAGATTGTATGTACATACTTTTGTCTTGGTGGTATATTGGTGGCATATTGTAGTATATGAATGTACAACAATGACAAAGATTCAAAGGCCCCATTTGGTTTTATTTATTTCGACCACAAATCCACTTAAATGTCTTTAATTTCACGCTCTAATAACAAAGTTCTTCGAATAATGGGATTGTCTTGCAAAATTACTAGTACTACTGCAATAAATTCAATATATATATCGCATGTTTAATAATATAGAGATGTAACTCAAAATTTACGGTTTTGGAGATTTTATATACAATTAATAAGCTTGATAAGCAGAATATATTCAGCCGAACAGATGACTATACTTCCCAAAAATGGCGTAGATACATACATATATGTATTTACATCTGTATTTTTGTATACCAACTGTATCAATAGATCAAACTTTGATTGCGTTTCGCTACAAAATTGAAATTTTGAAATAATTCTGTATATTATTAAACGTACGATATGTACGTACAAACATAGTGGTTTAATTTCAAGGGCAGCCGCATTGCTGAGAGCAGCTTTGCCATTATTATGAGTAATTACACAGTGCAAAAAATGAAAAAAATTGTAATCTCTGTGGTCTCAAGTACATATATTTCTGACCTGTTATAGAAAATAAGACACGCATTTTACAAAATTTTTGTATCAATATTTTTTTCATCTTATGCCACCACAAAGTTTACAGAACTTATTTTTTATGAAATTCTGAGATATTTAGGCAAAAATCATATCTGAAATCATCCAAAAACAATGCTAGGTGCTAATAACCCTTCTTTTTAAATGTTGCTTATATCTTTATCTTTAATTGCGGACAGAGAACTTGAAAATCCGCTTTATAATTTTTGTTTTATAAGCAAAACTGTAAATGTTTAATATGTTTTTTATAAAAGTCTAGCAATTTATACAACAAACGCCATATATCTACAAAAGTCCACATTTCAAACTTTGCAAAAAAAATTATAAAAATTACAAACTTTTTATTCAGAATTTTTAGAAAATTTTTTCGTATGCAATTTTATAGCCCATTAAATTTTACTGTATGAAGTGCAAGCTTCAAGTGGCTACCGAATACCGGTGCTAGGCATTTTAATAATAAAAAAAAATAATAATAAAAAAATAGGTAATAAAAAAAATTTCGAACATATGTACTTTGTATGGGAAAAAATTAGTCACACCGTCAGCAAAAATAATAAAAATAATAAAAATCAACGAAAAATCAAGCAGAAAAATACTATGGGACTCTAGTGATTATAAATTGTTTTCATTTTGCTGCACTGTGTTTTAGCAGAAATTGTATTACCAACATCTTTGAACTTAAAGAAAAACTATTTGTTTCTCTTTTTGGCGTCAATTTGTACTTTATTAAGTTATGTACAAACATACATATGTATATACCACTCGCTTACTATCCAATTTCTCCTTGTTACAGTTCATATTCACCTGCTTCATATTGGGCAGCCAATTTCAACAGTCATACCAACAAAGTGACTATACAACACCAGTACCAATATTGAAACAAATCGATCGACACAACGACGACGGTTCATATACGTATGGCTACGAAGCGGCAGATAGAAGTTATAAAATCGAAACAAAATATCCTAATGGTGAGGTATTTGGTAAATATGGCTATCAAGACGATCAGGGCAAGTTGCGTGAGATCGAATATGGTGCTAGCAAGCGTGGCTTTGAACCTGCTGGTGAGTTATTGTATTGCTTATCAACTTCAAGCTTGCCTTTTCACGCATTACATACGCACATTTTCCTCTCATCACATTTTAGGCAGCGACATTAATGTGCCACCTCCAACACTCACCAACCACAATCCCTATCCGCTAGGACCGAACGAAGTCGACGATGGCCAGTATCGCGAAGATCCTGCCGTCTATTTCAAAGATCAAAAATTCAATCGTCCACCAGTGGCAGCAAGCAAATTCAGTTTGGATAATTTGCATCAGCCACAGCGCCCACAATACAATCCACCAGCGCCACAATACTACAATCCACCACCACCACCACCGCCGCAGCAACAGCAGCCGCGTTATCAACAATTCGGTTTTCAACATCAACCACCTCAGTACAGACAACCACCACCACCACCACCGCCGCCGCAGCAGCAGCCCTACTACCAGCAGCCCCAATATCAGCAGCGCTCATACCAGCCTCAGTCGCAGTATCCATATGGCAGTTTGCCGCAACACCACCACCCTGCGCTGAAGAGTCTAGATATCTGGAGCGGTTCGTATAGTATCGATTATACGGGTCGACGCAAGTAGATGCCGCCGATGCATGGAATGCGCGCCGGAATGTGGGTGGTTTGGCATTGACCGTAAATTTCGAGGTTTTGGCGGTTAGAGTTTGTGAAGCGGGACGAATTGTGGCGAATGCGGCAAAATCGTCAACATAAAGACTTGTACTGATTTCGTTGATGACACCAATCAGTAAATAAGATTTATTTCTTACTTGTAAATACTTTTGTACTTATGTAATTTTATAATAACGCCGATTACTTAAGGCGAACGAGTCGAAATATATGTATGTATATTTATTCATATTTTTATATTTTAAATGTCATGGAAGTGCATTAGTAATTCTGCAGCGAGATCGCTTTAATGAAATAATTTCCATCGCACCACCTGCATTGGTATAATATGAAAAAGTCATCTGAGCCTTTTTATTGTAATTCGTTGCTGCTGGTTGTAAGACTCCTACAGCTTGTGATGCCATCTACATCTAGACGTCGCCTACGCGTAAACGATCGTAAATCCTCTGCAAAATCTTTCACTCGAATAATCCAAAGATCATCTAATCAAATAATGTGACCAGGGACCGCAACTGTTATGCTTCTTTTTTAAAAAAAGTTAAAGTTTTCGATTAGGAATGCAGTTAATATTTTAATTTTATTTTTTGTCGCTAAAAATATAACTTAAATTTTATTAAATTTTTTCTATAAAAAAAAAAACAGTTAATATTTGACTTTTATTTTTTCGTTAAAAAAGTTGTTAACATTTGAATTCTATTTGTTCAATCAAAAATAACACCTTTATTTTTAATATAAAAAATTGCAGTTAACTATATTATTTCCTTTCCTTTCCTTGCACAAACGACTAGTATCTTACTAAGTAGCATTAAGATGTTTCTGACTTAAAGTGTACAATCAGATGAAATAGCGATTGAATTTTGACTTTTATTTTTAATCGAAAAAATATCAGTAAATTTTTAACTTTTATATTGGACTGAAAAAAGTCAAATTTTAATTGTTGTTTTTGACTGATAAAAATACCGGCCCAAAATAACTGTTAACTTTTTTAGAAAAATCAAAAAAAAAAAGAAAAACTAAATACTTTAATACTAATATTCTTTAGCTATAGCTGATAGCACAACTCTTCTATATTCAAACATTTTTCCTATTGACTTCTGAATTGAAATTTCTAAAATAACGTTTACTTTCGTTCCCTGGTTGTGATTGCCCGTGCTTCTGCGCATTGTACATGCAGTGGTCGAATATTGACTCATTTTAAGATATTTTTTCTTTGTTATTTCATTTTAGTTATTGATTAATTCAGTTATTGATATTAAATTCAAGTCTCAAACTTTCTCAAAATTTTGAGATTTTTAATTAGATATCTTAGAAAGATTTTGAGGATGCAATTTTGTTGCCGTTTTTTGTTGCAGATATTACGGTTTTCTTCCATATAAAAATAAATTGTGTTCTTTGTTATATGGAAGCATTTGTGACAAAAAATTCTAAAAAAATAACGGTAGTTTTTAGCCATTTGAAATTTGCACTTTATCCTACTTTGAATACATAGAATTCAATGGGCTAGAAAAATGCATACCCCAAATCTTTCTGAGAAATCTAATTACAAATCTCGAAATTTTTCCAAGAGTTTGATAAATTTTTGTACAAATATTGCAAATTTTGGAACTTGGGTTTACACGGATTTTGTTAAAAAATATATATCTTTAATAAAAAAAAAACAACTAAAATTAAGTAACAAAAATCGTCTCAATTCTCTACGTATGTAGTTCAAAGAAGTACTTGTTGGCAAAAGGGATGGTCTGTTGGATTTCAAAAAAAGGGGAAAAACGACAGGATCGTTCGGCTGTAAATCCAAACTGCGATGGAATGAGGAAGCGACAGAAGAAAGGAAGAATGGGCATAATTTTAAGACTGAGATTAATTCTAAGATATTTGTTAATTTTTACTCAGACAAATAGTCATAAAATCTGATCAACTATATTGTAGTATGCACATTAGACCGCGTCAAAAAAAAAAATCCTGCAATGCGACCGGAATAAGATTCAAATTTTAGCATTTGGTATAGTAATGATCCTCCATGAATCTCAACTCTCTAGTAAATTATAAGAGGTGCCCCGCAAGCCTTTAGTTTTCCCATAGGTATTACACGTAAAAAAATTAGTTCTTTCCTCTTGAGGTGAATATAATGTTCTAGGATCAATGAAAGTGCTCGATACTGTAAGTATACATAAATTACATGCCATTTAAGTATTATGTAGGCTTAGATTGATTAAATTTCTAAATTAGCCTTTTTTAATCCATTGTCTTATTTGGGTCAAATCTAGTATATACCAATTTCTTTTTTTGAATTTAAGGAATCTGAGCATGCACAATACTCAAATGGCATGTAATGAATGTATTCTTACAGTTTTGAGCATTTTTATTGATCCTAGAAAATTATATTGACCTCAAAAGGAAATAACTAATTTTCTTACGTATAATACATACCTATGGGAAGACTAAAGGCTTGCGGCGGCACCTCTTACAATTTCCTAGATAAGTGAGATTCATGGAGGACCATTACTATACTAAATGCAAAAGTTTGAGTTTTTCCGAAATTACAATTGCCAACAGGGATGACTACTTGAGAAGGCCAACTTGGAGAAGGCAAATAAGCTTAAACCATTTTGTCAAAAAAATTTTTAAGAAACAATTTTTATTCATAAAAAACTCCATTTTGGAGCTATTTTCAAATCGGTCCAGCTCACGTAAATCTTAATATTTTTCCGAAATATTTTGGTAGACCGCAGTCTAATGTACATACATACATAACAACCATCGAATGCTAGCAGCTTTTATCATTTAATCCATGATTTAAGTACATACACATTTATATAACCAAAAATTTGTGTCCATTTACCCGCGACCTCTCTTTACGACCAGTTTATTTGTCACAACGATATTTTCATTTCCAAATACCAGGCGAACATACATACATACGTACATGCACGCGAATCAGTGTTGCCAGTAACTGCGTTAATAAAACCCCGTCCAAATATAATCTAAATCCCGTTTTAAACTAAAGTTATAACAGAAATCCCGCGCTATATGTAAATTTTATTAATAAAATGCTTTCGGATGAAAAAATACACAATCATGTATATAGATATGCAATATACATAGGATATATATGGGTCCAGTGCTGCCGTTGAGAAGTGGTAATTGACGAAAAAAGGGTCAACATATCATTTTTGCTTTTCTTTACTAGTAAAAAAAATCTGAGATCCCAAGTCAAAATCAAATATATATGTATTATAAAGTCTTTTCGCTGCTAGAACGTTCCGATGTTGAATTTAAGAAGAAAATAGTGGGACAAGCTTTAAACAAAACATAGAAATCGAGTTGCTGCAAAAAGAAGAGTTGCATTTCCTTTAAAAGTTTTAAAAATTTTTTTTACGTACAGGAGAAATATTTTTTAATAGCATGGTTCTAAAACAAAATCTCTGAAAAGGGGCAAAAGTTGCATATAATTTTGGAAAAGGATCAAAAAAGTCGGGTCAAAGGGTATTGGCGCCTAAAAAGTGTCAAATTGCCCCTTTAGTCGCATAACGGCAACACTGTATGGGTCCTTCCAAGTCAAAACGCATGCGGCTTTGTCCAAAAATGGTGGAGAGCTATCGTTATTTTTTGAAGATGCGAAAAGTGGCGTTTATAAAAAAAATAGCAATTCGGTACTAAGTTACCATTTTCCGACCAGTCTGCCGAAAATTTCCCTATGAATCGTTTATGAAAATCCATATAGGCGACTAAAATCGTAATATATTATTTTGGGGTCGTTGAACCCGAATTCGGGCCAGTTTGGTCTCAGGAGGTCAGTATCGAGGTAATTTGATGGTCAACTGGGCAAACTATTGAAACCTCGAAACACAAAACTTATGATTTCTTTAAATAGTACAAATATTCTTTCCAGAGTCATATAAAAAACTTAAAATTGGTTAAAAAATAACCGAGCTAAAAATTTGTTGGTGATAAAAATTTGTAAGTTGAGAATTTTACGGTCTTAGAAAAATTTTAAACACAGTTTCGTGAATAACATGACCAGCCCTACGACCTCTCAATTAGAAAGTTTATGATCTAGTTGATTCTTGTACATTCTTAAAACATGTTCAGAATCTAGAAACTCAAGCCATCCAACTTGCAATTAAAATTGATTTCAAGTGAATGAAGTTCCACTGAAAGGAACGTTTATTTACCACAGAGTATGACAGCTTTTTGTTCTTTATCAATTACTAAATTTTATTGCTTGTTATGGTATGCAAAAAATCCCGTTTTTCAACAGAAAATCCCATTCGCCCTTTTTAGTCATAAAATCCCCAATTTCAAAGGCATATCAAACAGGTAGTAGCATTAGAGCAAATCCACATTTGCATGTATTTTGTTGTTGCCTCTGATTTTGAAAGTGTCAATAACTGTTCCGATTTTTTTTTCTTAATCAAAGGAGGCCATGTGAAATACAAGAAAAAAATTGAAATTGGATAGAAATAAACATTGTTGCAAAACTTCCAAAAATACTTCTTTGGGTCCTCGGATGGTGTGTATGTTCAAAAAAGCGCATATCACAACATTATTGATTTGGTTTCTAGTTTTTGGAACTACACACAGTTACAGAGTGGTGTTGTTTGGAAAGAGTTACTGAGTTGAACTCATTATTTCTAGACTACACCACTCTGTGACTGCCAAAACGTACAAATCTGTACAAATCGTGTGATCTCTGCTTAACTATGCTATTTCATACAATAAGAGAATCCGAGTACTGCTT